TGAAATAATTAATTAATTAATAGTAAAATGAAGAACAATGCCGGTTGGAAGGGCTTGGAACTTCAGTCACTGAAACCTGTGAACCATTATTTATTTTTATTTTTTTATTTTTTTTTAATTTTTTTTTCAACGTTTATTTATTTTTGGGACAGAGAGAGGCAGAGCCATGACGGGGGGAGTGGCGGCGTGAGAGTTGGGCTCTGGCTCGGATACAGTTTCAGGCTCTGAGCCATCAGCCCAGAGCCTGACGCGAGGCTCGAACTCACGGACCGCGAGATCGTGACCTGGCTGAAGTCGGACGCTTAACCGACTGCGCCACCCAGGCGCCCCCCATTATTTCTTTTTAAATTGAGATATGGCATACATACAATAAAGTACACAGGTCTTAAGTGTACAGCTTATTGGGTTCTTATCTGTGGATATGCCTGTGTAACCATACAGCCCCCCAGCATGCTCCTGCCCAGGGGTCCTGGTGTCCCTTCCCAGTCTCCAACCCACCCCAGTGGTAACTGCTGTTCTGATCCCTGTCACCAAGACTACCTTTGTCTATTCTTGAACTTCATATAAATTGACTCATACAGTATGTTTCCTTTTGTGTCTGGCTTCTTTCACCCAACAGAAGATCTATGAGATTCATCTATGTTGTTTTGTGTAACCATAGTTTGCTCCTTGTCTGTGCTGGGTAAGTATGTGTGAATGTGCCACAAAGTATGTATCTGTTCTATTACTGATAAATATTGGCTAACTTCTAGTTGGGGCCATGATGAACGTTCTTATGGGAACGTTCTTATGCGTGTTGTTTTATGGACACAAGCCCTGATTTCTCTAAGATAGATACCTATCATGGATTGCTGGGGTTTAGAGAGGCTTTCACAGCATGATTAGATGAGTGGGGGGACGAGGGGTAGGTCAGACAGATTTGTTTCAAGTGCCCATGTCACCACTGCTTGACCTTGGGTTGTCTACGTGCCTTTTCTGTGCCTCAGCACTCTCCATCTGTAAAATGAGGCCTAAGAAGACATCCCTCAGGTGGTCAGTGTAAGACTGCAAAGAAATAATACCTGTTAAGCACCTGGTACAGCACACTTTTCTTAGCACACTGAAGAAAATAATCATTTCTGGCTCCTTTACTCCACCACTCATGTTTCACTAGCCTCAGTCCAGCCTCCCCTCAGGAAAAGAGTACCTGCATCCTTCACCAATAAGCCAGGTAAGATGTGTAGGTGGGACCCTGCCTTCAAAGCTTGTATTACTCCCTTGTTCTAGAATGGCTTGGCCTCTATGGTGGATATGCATGGTTTGTTCTGCCCAAAACAGTATCCTCATCTTCTGGAAAGCTTCCCGTGAACCACATGGTTCTGGTGAGGACTGCTAATCATGGATCCCATTCCTGCCCCCACACCTCCAAGTCCAAGGGTTGATCACATGACACAGACCTGGCCAATCACAACCCTTCCCTAGGAGTTTCAGACAAGATCTCAGAAGAAAGAGCCCTCTCCTCTTTGCTCACAAAGTTTCCAGACAGACTCCTTGTCAGAGCTGGTCATTGATCAGTTTCTCAACAACTCCCTACCCTCTACCTACAACACAAAATAAAAAGGTCAATGAGATCAGAGTTTACACTGAGGTGGGAAGCAGAGGAAAGAGAGGGAAGGAAACAGAGCAATTGACAACCATGTCTTTGGTTCCAGGTATTCATGAGGCCAGTGGCTTTGCTAGCCTTCTGAGTAATTTGGTTACACAAGGCAATAAATCTCTCATTCTTTTGAAGCCATCTTTAGTTAGGTTTCTGTCTCTGGCTCCCAAGATAGTTCTGACAAATATACTCTGCATGAAGTGTTCAAACCAAAGGCCTTTGAGGGCCTACCTCTAATCTTTCTCAAGCTCCATCCACCTGGCCCTTCTCTTTGCACCAAACCATCACAAACCTGCTCTTTGCTTTTGAAGCCATGGCCAGTGGTCACTTGTTAAGCACACACCTGGAGTGTGCAGCCCCCGCGTGGGCTCTGGCTGCACAGAAGGCAAGTGGATGGCCTGGGCCCCCCGACCTTGAGCTTTGTACCATCCCTGCACAATTTCTCATAATTGCTCTCTGATTTATGCTCCTTTCCTTGGCATGGTATTGACAAACGGAAGATTTGATAGATTCTCTCCAGGTCATCTATTTAAGGTATCCTCAGTTAATGCAGGAAAGCAATGATGTTCGGTTTTTAAGTGATTGAACTCTACCGCATGTTATTTTTAGCAACATGCCCAAAGTCCTGAGCAGCTGCCCTGGCCTGAGTTGGGGAGTGGACCTGTTGGCCCCAGGGAGATGGATCCTGCCTGACTGCCGCCTTCCTAGGTGGTCTCAGAAAACTCTAAAATCATATTCCCAGCAGTTCTCACCAGGAGAAGGTGCATAGTGAGAGAGCGAGACACCTGAACTCTGAAGCCAAAGACCAAATAAAGTTGAGGGAAGAGGGAGGAGAGTCCTGTCCACCCCTGTTCCAGTGCCTGCAGGACCCTAATGCCCCATTAGACTAGCCACCTGACATCCCCCCGTGAGAGGGAAGCCCTGACACGAGCTGTGATAGATCACATCATGTAGCTGCAATTGGTTACATCTCCCCCTATTCACACCTTTTGCCACACAACTTTGTTGTGTGTACTGACCTGGGTGGAGTAAGATCTATCCCTTGATTCACTTTCAGCTTGTCCAATGAGATATTTGTGGGGAGACATGAAGGAGGCTGGAAGTAGTGCCTCTTAAACCTCTACCCTCACATGGGGCACATGCCCAGGCCAGACTGATGGAGGATGAGAGACATGTGGGGCCGAACCAAGTCAGCCCAGTCCTCCTAGCCAAGTCCAGCCCATCTCAGCCAATAGCCATCCCACCTCCAGAGAGGTGAGTAAATCCAGCTGAGGCCAAAAGACCCAGACAGCTGAGCCCAGCTATTTCGATGTTCACAGTTTAAAGTCACTGAGTTTGGGGGTAGTCGGTTAGGTAGCATGAATTGTGGCTAATGCATAACTAATACATAGCCGTAATGCAGAGGCTGTCAAATCACACATGTGCAGACAAGCCAGATGGGTAAGAATGGTGAACCACTGAAAGATCTGAGTTAAGGTATTTGAAGCCAAAAGGTTTTTTTTTTTAAGTTTATTTATTTTGAGAGAGAGAGGGGTGGAGGGAGAAGGGCAGAGAGTGGGAGGGAGAGAGAAAATCCCAAGCAGGCTCCACACTGCTAGCACAGAACCCGATGCAGGGCTTGAACTCAGCAACCATGATATCATGACCTGAGCCAAAACCAAGAGTCTATCACTTAACCAACTGAGCCCCAGGTGCTGCTGAAGCCAAGAGTTTTTTGAGAATTGCTTTTGAGGGTCTACAGTAACTAAAGTATTTATGTATGTACATATATAAATTGTATATGTAAAGTTAACCAATTGTTTTCAGGCTGAGGCATGTCCTTTAAGGAAAAATAAACTCAATTATGATCAACTTATTGCTATGGCAGTGAGAGCTGTTAAATCATGTGGAAAATAATTTTAGCTGTTAGTCACATATTTTCCTTGCAATGGGTGCAAACCAAAAATGTTCTTTATCATAGGATTCTGTGCTTTTTGTTTCCTTTGGTGGTTTTAACTCTTACTCCTACATTTCTAGCAGCCTCTTCTCCTCCTCAGGTACCCAGTGCCCTAAGGCACTGGAATGGGAGTGGGATTTGAGGCATATTTTTCTTCCAGAATACTTCTACTGTTAGAAGAGAGGAAAAGGAGGTACGCCTGGGTGGCTCAGTTGGTTGAGCATCTGACTCTTGATTTCAGCTCATGTCATGATCCCCAAGTTCATGAAATGGAACCCCACATCAGGCTCTGTGCTGACAGCATGGAGCCTGCCTCGGATTCTCTCTCTCCCTGTCTCTCTCTGTCCCTCCCCCACTCATGTGTGCACACATGCCCTCTCTCAAAATAAATATACATATAAAAAAAGAGAGGAAAAGGAGATCTTGGGGGACCTGAAAAGAGCTAAATGTGGCCATGGTGGCATATCCTTGAAGAGTCATATTTAATCTAATAAACCTGTGTGAAATTTGCCAGTGATTCTGGATTAATGGTCCCCTTAGGAGCCTTGCAGAAACAAACACAAGTCTTTTATGAAGGACACACGTTAAATACAGATTTCAAAGCATTCTCACAGATAAAATTGCGAAGAACATGAGTTCACAGTTTAAAAAACCAAACGCACAAGGAAACAAGCCACCATGAGCAAGCGTTCTCAGAAACAACCAACTGGAAATCAAATCACCAAAAATAAGAAGCATCATAATCTTCAGACACCCAGGACAAAAGGCTGATGTGTTTCAAGGATTGAAGGGCCACTGGAAGTATGGTGAAGCAAAGAACTACCAAAATTGACCAGTTTGCAAAAGAACTAAATAGGGCTTCCATAAACGAAGCAAATAAGTGAAATTAAAAACTCAATAAAAGAGGCAAATAGCATTGCTGGAGTGAGAATTTGTGAACTAGAAAATTGACGAGTTGACCTCACTGCCTAGGAACCTGGGTGTGTGGCATGAGGAGACTAGATCCCAGTTGCTGGAAGGACAGGGGGCAGCTGAACGGGAAGACGGGGGCGGGGTCAGCCCAGCAGCATCGCATTCCCCGAAGTGAGATGGGCAGATAGAAAAGCATTGGCCACTGTACTTTCTCTGGTAGGAAGGACTTTGTGGAATTGCGGGGACAGAGAAGCAGGTGGGGGGGGGGTGTCTGGTCTATAAGACAGAAGCCAGTATTATAATAAGCTGCATCCAAAGGACCACCCAGAGTCACACCGTGCTTTGTAAGACAGTCACAGCAGGTGTCTTGGTTATCTGCTGTATAACAAGCCACCTCAAAACTTAGGGGCTTAAGACAACAGTGATCCCTTATTTTGCTCAGGATGCCGCCATCTGGGCAGGGGTTGGTGGGGACAGCTGGCCTCTGCTCCCCATCGCATTAGCTGGGTTGCTCAACTAGAGGTGGGAGGATCACTTTCCAAGTGGCCCATATGGCTGGGGAGTTGGTGCTGGCTGTCAGCTAGGAGCCTGCTGGGTCCTCAGCTCCATATGTGTCTCTCTACCCACCGTTTGTACTTCCTCACAGCATGGTGGCCGAGTCTCCAAACAGAAGGCAGAAGTGCATGACTTTTTTACTACCTAGCCTCCGAAGCCACATGGTGTCACTTTAGCTATACTCCATTGGTCGAGATAGTCACAAAGATCTGCCCTGGTTCAAGGAGGAGGGGGAGAGGGAAGGTTCTAGAAGAGCATATGGCATGAGAGATGCTGCTCTACCATCTTCAGAAAATGGCAATGTCAAAGCAGGTGATGGCAATCCAGGGTCAGGTGATGGCTAGACACCTAGGCAGGCAGCCAACCAAGGCATCAGCACCCAACTGGGATTTGGTGGCAGGACCTCGGCCCCTGAGTCGGGGGACAGCTGATAAGAGCGCAGCCAAGCCTGGGACTTTATCAGAAGATGGTGTAACAGAGTGGTCAAGAGCAGATTCTCGAACCAGATTCCCTGCATTTGAATCCTGGCTTCACCAATTAGTAGTTTAAGATCTGGGGCAAGGAGAGTGACCCCTCTTGGCCTCGGTTTCCCCATCTGTTAAATGGGATAACAATAGAACATACCTCACAGGTTTGTTGTGAGGATTCAGCCAGTTAATAGAGGTAAGAGCTTAGAACAGTGTCTGGCCCTCAGCAAATGCTGTGTAAGGATAAGCTAATGTTGGTAAGAGACTCTTTTCACAGAAAAGCACCAGAAACCAAACAGGGAACAGAACTGCCAAATGGTGTGTATCAGAGCTCCGAAGAGAGGCAGACTTCCAGGAATGAGAACTTCTGGTAACAAGAAGGATGCCCCTGGGGGGGCGGGGGTCCCAGAGGCCTGGGAGGAGGTGGGGCCTAAGGCGGATTCTTGGTGCATGAGGGAGGTGTCCTTGGAGCGGAGACAGTGGTCTCTCAGCCCGGGGCCTGGAGGTCCTGCCGGGCTCAGAGGCAATACCAAGTTCAAACGCTATAAAATGCTCTGCAATGTTGTTCGAGCAATAAAAATAGCAAGGAGTCCTGAGGCTACTTAGAAATAGAACAACTGTTTTCTCCTTAATGAGCCGCCATACGCAGCATTTAATTAAAACTGCAAGAGCTTCCCGGGAACGTGGACCGAGGGGGCGTGCAAGGCGGGGTCACAGGCGCTTGCTTGTCAGGGCTGGGGGTGCCTCTCAGGGGCGGGGCGCAGGCGCACCCCCACCCCACTCCTTTCTGCTTTCCGGTTTCCCAGGAACCCTCCTAATGGTTTCCACCGGCTCTTCGTCGTGGTGAACAGTCACTCTCCACTGGCTTCAAGTATCTGTGGGGCAGCCTAGGGTAACTTGCTTTGCCTCTCTGAGCTTTAGTTTCCCCATCTGGAAAATAGAGATAATGAGGCATCCTTGATAGAGATACATCCTGGAAGTGCCCGAAACTCGTTTTCTTCCCTCCCCAGACTGTCGTGCTCAGGACAGTGGATGCTTTGAGGGCTGCGGGTATCGTTTTCCAAGCCACATCCTGTACGGTGCTCCTTGGAAAGGGGCTTCCAAAGTCAGGTAAGTCTGGAAACGCGGTGCTCTCCATGCACTCCTCCCCACTCGCAGGGGGCAAAAAACATGGGTATTTTAAGTGCTCCGAGAAGTTCCCGTCTGAAGAATCCTGCTTTGTTGAACCTCGCGTTCTAAAATGTCTCACCGTGGAAACACTTTTAAACTGATTTAACATGAATTTTCTTTATTTGTTTCACCCATTAGCATCATGGGGGGGGGGCAAAGGAAACACCGAGATGGTACAAATCACACGTGTAAACCTCTTCATCTCTGTCAACTGTCTTCTCATCTGAGAAACCAGGGTAAGTAACACACACCTTGCAGGTGGCTCTGAAGATTAGATGCAGTATACATAAAACACCCGCCCCACGGCCTGGCCCACGATGGGCCAGCCGGCAGTGAGCTGAAGCTGCTGTGACGTACACAGGCACACAGGTACAGGAAATGATACAGAAGGATGCGGATACCAAAGGTGAGAAATGAGGCAGGGCCTTGGCCAAAGAGGGTGAGACCAGCACAGGCTGACTGGGGCTGAGCCCAGGGGTCCTTAAATCTCCTAGACCAACCCACGGATTGTTCCCAGCACCAGGGGCAGAGCGGGGCCTGCAGGAGAGGGATGCGTGGCCTTGGCAAGGGCCTGGCAGACCACTGGGCACAGGGGCAGGTAAGGAAGTCATTTATTAACTATATTTATTGAGCACCTACCACCTGCCCGGCACTCTTAGCCACAGGGGAAACATCAGTGAACCAAAGTCCCTGCCCTCGTGGAAGTTACACTGTCAACACATTTTCTTAAAATTAGTAATTCATTAGGTGAGAATAAGTGCAAAAATAAATAAATAAATAAGCCGAGTAAAGGGGTAGATAATGATGATGGGTGGGTGTTACTTCTAATAGGATGGTCAGGGAGAGCCTCTCAGAGGAGGTGATATGAGCAGAAAGTGAAGACAGGAAGGTGACTGCAGGTTCTCTGAGTCATTTCCTCCTCCTCCAACTCCTCCTCCTCCTCCTCCTCCTCCTCCTCCTCCTTAATGAGATCTATCTCTAAGGCCCCACAGACCTCCTCACCTGCTGAGCTAAGCAAGACCGGTTCAGGAACAGGCCTTCCTGGGGTGCAGTTCCAGAACTTGCCACAAGGTGGAGGTAGTGACTCTAACCCGGTCCAGGGGCCTAGAGTCTGTTGAGGAATCCAGAAGACCCTTGAATTCAAGGCTCCCGCCCCTAGAATCCTATCAAGGTTGAGAATAATCTCTGGCTGTCTGCAGCCACAGGCACCCCATATAATCTGAGGTGGTAAACACCTCCCACGGTGTGGTGGGGGCCTTTGGCCATCTGCCACCCGGTGTCTGGGAGGCTTGGGACTGGGGGAGGGAGAGAGAGTGAGAGCCCCACAGAACTTTCAGGGAGGCTGAGGGAGGGAGGGGTGCACAGCCCCCCAGCACAAGATCCAGGGGTCCCAGGGCTGAGACTGGCACCACCCAGAGAGCAGTTCCAGCCAGGACTTCTTCTCATGATGGGGGATGGCTGTGGAGGTTTAAGACATCCATCTGCCTCTGGCTGAGGGGCAAGGCAGGTGAGGAAGCGGGAAGTGGAGAGAGAATTGGCTATAAAAGCTGAGTCCTGAGTTCAGTACAGTCAGGCTTCGGGGAGTAACAACCACGCGTGTGCGGTTTATGGCTGGCTAGTTGCTCCTATAAATTCATCTGAGCATTGGGAGAGGCGGCTGTGAGCTTGCTGGTTGCCTGCCACGATTTGGGGTGAAGGGGACCCAATCAGAGCCCCCAGCCCTGTTTTCCCTTGGGAAGTAGCTACAGGACGGTCCTTGGTGGCAGAACCGCCAAGACCCCCTGTTTGGGGTCTTCCCCAAGCTCCCACTGGAAAGGTGGCTTGCTCCCCTTGGCAGCCAGGACCTACTTCCACCCCCCCCTCTCTGAGAGGATTGATTGCCTTCCCAGACTCATTCCAGGGAGTCAGAGTTGCAGGATTTCCACTTTACCTGGCATTTTGCTCCCCAGTAACGTGAACAGATGCTGCAGGGCTCTCTGTGAGGATCCCCAGGTAAGGAGGGTAGATTCTCCCCAGTGAGGTTCTTTGCTTTCCTCTGGGAGGAGAAATCCATTTCGCACTGCTCTGTGATTTCACTAACCTTTAAATGCACGGGCTGAGGGCTCAGGTGTACCTCCACCTGTTCCCCGCCTCTCATCTTCTGGAAGAGGGGCAAATAATACTTAGCTGGCAGGGTCATTTGGTCAACTTAATAAGACAATATGTCTAAATGGCACCTGGCACCTCATCAGGACTCAACGAATAATAATTACATTGATGTCTGCAGAGGACGAGGTACACCTTCTTATCTATGATCTTGTTTATTCCACCAAACAACCCTGTTTGGCACCTTCCGCTTTTTTTTTTTTCTTATTTCATAAATTTTTTTTTTTTCCACAAGGAACATCTGAGAACGTTCTCATCATAACAAAATCGAGCATCATAATTCGGAGTAAAATACAAATGTTGCTCCTTACTACCCCCTCGGCGTATACCCTACCCCATCCTTCCACATACAACATATTCCCCAGAGGTAACTACTGGCATAAGTTTGGTGTTCATGTTCCCAGACTTCAAATATATATACTTTTTTAGTGTTTATTTTTTTATTTTGAGAGAGAGTGTGCACATGAGCAGGAGAGGAGCAGAGAGAGAGAGAGAGAGAGAGAGAGAGAGAGAATCCCAAGCAGGCTCCACACGCTCAGCACAGAGCCTGACACAGGGCTCGAACCCATGAACCGTGAGATCATGACCTGAGCCGAAACCAAGAGTCAGATGCGCAACTGACTGAGCCACCCAGGTGCCCCTATATACTTTTTTTTTTTTTTAAAGCAATACACTCTTTGGAGCTGTAAAATTCAGTTCCACGTTGGGTAGCATTAGATGAAGATTACCCTTCGAGTAAACTGGAGAATGTGCACACCCACAGCTGTTTCTTCCAGGCAGCATTTAGTTTCATATCAACCCTCGATGTGCCAATTGCAAATGAGCTTCTTAAAACAGGCCTTCAGAAGGTGGTCTGGCAATACTATGTAAGTAATTACCGGTAAGATCTAGGTGTGTATGTGTATTCTCTGACTCACTTGTCTACCAAATGGCCACAACCTCTGTTCCAAGTTTGGATCGGGGGATAAGGCTACATATCCCAGGGACGTGGTTCTTTGGGCCACTTTCTTTTGAAATGAGGAGCCAAGCACAGAGGATGTGTCTGGCTGCATAGAGGTTGGGTCAAGCCTAATTCTGGGTTCTGAGCTCTGTTTGGGCAGGGACAACAGTGTCCCGTGGACTCCGGGGAACCTGTATGGCTGGAAGTGGGCCACCCAGTCCCCACCTGCTGTCCCCCAAGCTGTCCTGGGGCCTGGAAGCACAGAACCTGCTGAGCCGCAGAGTGTCCACGAGTGCTCTTCCCAGGCTCCACACTCTGTATGTTCTTTCACCCACTCCGCAGGCCAGCTGTAGGAGCCGGGTGTGCTGACCAGGGTCCCCCTTCTGTTGATGGAGACACTGAGCTTCGAGACGGAACACACCCAAGAACATACAACTAGAAAGTGGCAGCACTGGAACTGCAGCCAGCTGCCACGGGGGGGACTCACTCATACTTGTATACAAGTAACATGGGAGTACGTTCAGATTGTATGTGAAATAAACATGAAACTCTTTTCGGGCCCCAGAAGTCACCTCCCTCCATAGCTGACCGCCCTTATGTGTCAAGTTGTGTCCTTCACACACACGCACACAGTTGTGTCCTTTTCACACACACACACACACACACACACACACACACTTGCTATTATAAAAATATAAAAGAGATTACACTATAAAAAATATTGCTATGACCTTTCTTTACATAGCAATGTGTTTCCACATTCATGTATTTGGACCTATTGCCTTTATAAAAAATTTTTTTTAACATGTATTTATTTTTGAGAGACAGAGACAGAGCATGAGCAGGGGAGGGGCAGAAAGAGAGGGAGACACAGAATCCGAAGCAGGCTCCAGGCTCCCAGCTGTCAGCACAGAGCCTGACGCAGGGCCCGAACTCACGAACCGTGAGATCCCGACTTGAGCCGAAGTTGGACACCTAACCGACTGAGCTACACAGGTGCCCCAGATACCATTTCTCTCTGCCAGAGCCTGAGATTCCTCCTGGCCCAGCTCCTTGGCTGTCAGCAACCTGCAGCCCACTGCCTGCCATGGCAGATAAAGTGTTATGTCATGTCTAGGGCTGCTTTGAAGCCGCAACAGCAGAGTTAATTGATTGAGACAGAGGTCACATGGCTCGCAAGACCTAAATTATTTACTGTGTGACTCTTCAGGATGGTTTACCAAGCAATCCCTGCCCTTGATCTTATGATCAATCTTATGATTGATCCTATGATCAATCGCTCCTCCCTGGGAATGAAGGAGGTGGTCCTTGACCCCTTGTCCTGGTGGTCAGGGTGACCCAAAGCCTCTCACGTGCTCCGCCGTGACCTGGCCTCTGGCCAGGGACTGTGCCCCACTGCCGGATGGTTACACACAAGCAGGAACACAGCCTGCAACAAGGACAGCCAGTCAGCCAGCCAAAGGTATGACCCTACCCCATTCACAGCAAGGTGAGAGAGTTCTCCTGGAGGCAGCACTGGTGAGGGTGGAGGTGTGTGGGGGAGGGCAGACAGACAGGGTTCTTTCTGGAACAGTATCTGCCAGACTGCAGAGGGCTCATGTATCAGCAGCCATGGGCAGCCGGGCCATGCCGGCTTTGGCCTCAGGCAGAGGGTGGGTGTGGAGGGAGAGATGGAAGGAAGGCTGGTAGCATCTCAGGCAACTCTGGAAACTGAGATCAAGAGCTCTTGGACGCCACTCCTCCAGGGAGCCTTCCCCCTCAGGGGTCAAAACATCACACGGTCGGACTGTGTACCTCATTCTTGCCACTCTCAGTCATCCCTGGGACTCCACCATACCTCCTCTTCTACCCCTGCCCTGCACTGCTCTTGGGGTAAGCATGAGGTAATGCCTTAGAAACTTCTAGTCTCACGGAAGCTGCTTTTTTCAAGGTCATCATTGACCTCCATGTGTCTGCATCCCACTGGTTAGTCACCTGTATCCTCATTTTACTGAGTCTCCCAACATCCTTCGACATCTGCTTTGATACCCACTTGCTGTCCGCTCTGTTCCTGGAATATTCGTCTCCCAGCTGGTCCCATGGCTGGATTCTTCTCATCATTCCTGACCCAGGTCAAAACGCATCTTCTCAGCAAAGTCTTCCTTGTTCCTCAGCTCCCGATGACCTCCACCCTGCACCATATCACACTCATGATTGCTTCAGAGCTTATTTATTTATCACTACTTGAAATTACATAGTTTACTGACGTGTCAAGAGATTAAGCCAAGGTTCTGGAGCCTGACTACCTGGGCACAAATCTCAGCTCTGCCATTTCTAGCTGTGAGACCTCTGACAGCCTATGGTCTCCCTATGCCTCAGTTTCCACATCTGTGAAATGGAGGTGATAGAAATCAGTTGCATGAGCCAAATCCGACCCGCTGCCTGGTTTTGATCAACCAGCAAGTTAAGATTGGCTTTATGTTTTTAAATGGTTGGGAAAAAAAAAATCAAAAGAGGGATATTTTGTGACCTGTGAAAATTACATGAAATAAAAAGTTTCAGTGTTCACAAGCAGAGTTTTATGGAACATAGTTTTGCCCAGTGACTTACGTATTGTCCACGACTTCCTTACTGCTATGGAAGAGTTGAGCAGTTGTGACAGAGTGTGTGGCCTGCAAAGCCTAAACTATTAAAGCTTGAAATATTGGGGCGCCTGGGTGGCTCAGTCGGTTAAGCGTCCAACCCTTGATTTCGGCTCAGGTCATGATCTCACAGTTTCATGAGTTCAAGCCCCACGTCAGGCTCTGTGCTGACCCTGCAGAGCCTGCTTGGGAATCTCTGTCTCCCTCTCTCTCTGCCCCTCCCTTGCTCATGCTCTCTCTATCTCTCTCAAATAAATAAACTTCAAAAATTATGAAAAAAATGCAAATGTCCTTTTAAAGAAACAGTTTTGGGGTTCCTGGGTGGCTCAGTTGGTTAAGCGTCCAACTCTTGATTTCTGCTCAGGTCATGATCTCACACTTCATGAGATCAAACCCCACATTGGGCTCTGCACTGACAGCACGGAGCCTTGTTGGGATTCTCTCTCTTCCTCTCTCTGTGTCCCTCTTCCACTCATGCTTACTCTCTCTCAAAATAAATAAGTAAACAAGAAAAAAACTTAAGATATTTCCTATCTGGTTCTCTATAGGAAATGTTTGCTGACCTCTGGTATGAATGTCTGCCATCTAGGGTTGATCTAAGCGACTTAACATACGTAGAAGTCTTAGAATAGTGCCTGACGCAGGCACACAGGTGGAACTGTAGATGGACATCAGCCACATGCAAGTATCAGCTATTAGCTATCTGCCTTCCCTCTGTCATCCTGTCCGGTAGAATTTCCTCCAGTGATGGAAATGTCTCTGTCCTTCCTGCCCAGCGAGGTAGCCACGAGTCACATATGACCATTGAGCATTTGAAGTGTGGCTGGTATGACTCAGGAATTCCATTTTTAATCCTAGTTAATTAAAACGAATTAAAAACATTTTCTTAAGTCTAGTTATTTTGAGACAGAGAGAGGGAGCGCGTGTGCACCAGCTGGGGAGGGGCAGAGAGAAAAGGAGAGAGAGCGAATCTGAAGCAGGCTCTGCACTGTCAGCGCAGAGCCTGCTTGTGGGACTTGAACTCACGAACTACGAGATCATGGCTTGAGCCGAAACCGAGAGTGGAACGCTCAACCAACTGAGCCACCGAGGCGTCCCTAACCAATTTCTATCTTTACTTAAAATGCCACGTGCAGCCGGTGCCTCCCATATTGGACAGCACCGCTGGAAAGCAAAGCCCCTTGAGAAAGTGCTTGCCTGGCGTATGGGGAGTGCTCTGTAAACTTGGACTCTACTTGGTTCTCCCCTCTTCTCTTTCCCCAGCCTTCCTCTGTCCTCATGGGCCTGTGCTTTTCCTTCACCGTTTGTCCCACTTTCTCTCCTTGGGACATGTCTTCCCTCTCCCCGCCGGCCTTCCCATCCATACCCTGCCCAGGCCCCACAGGCCCCTCCTCAGTGCCCATTGGCATCCACGCCTCGTCCTCGGCCAACTTAACTGCCGCTGTAAATCAGCCCCGATAATTCGCCATCTGGTCCCGGCCCTTAGCAGAGAGTGGAGAATCCAGGCCAGGTGGATTCCGGCTGGAGGTGGGTCGGGAAACCAGGCCTCCCACGTGTAGCCAGGGACACTCCATCATCTCCGAGGCTGGCGTGGATATCACATGACACCTGCTGCCAGGAGTCCATGCCAGGCCTGAGGGGTGCTGCCAATCACGGAGGACCCCGGGGGCCTGCAGGGTGGAGAGCAGAGTGGCTGGGAGGCTGGCGGCAGGTGCCTCGGATGGGTGGCAGATGGATGGTGTGGAGAGAGCGGCGAGGAGCTGGCTACTGGGCAGGGTCCTGGCGTGTTGTCTTCTGTACTCAAGGGGCTCGTTACCATCGCTGCAGCTGTGGGCCCTTGTCAGCTTCAGGAAAGGGCATCGGGGAAGGGTGTGGAAGAGTGGAGTTCCCATCGGGTGCCAGCTGGTGCCCCGCCATCTTGCAGTCGCCAGTCCTCCCCTCCCACAGAGGCCATTGGCACCAGGGCACTGCCACCGCTCCGGCAAGGCTGGACGAAGCAGGAGAGACTTGGGTCCCCGCAGAAGGCACCGGGTTAGAAGCTAGTGAGGGGACCTCGGCTTAGAGCTCAGCGGGGACGTTTAAATCATTTCTGACTCTTAGTATATACTGAACCCTCCCGATCTTTTTGGGAAAGAGCAAGTGTAATGACTCAGGAACCCTGACCTCCAGGCCTGGCTCAGCTTCCCAGAGCCACCAGCTGCATGTTGTGGGACAAGTACCTGCCTTCATCTGGAAAACGAAGAGGTTGGACTGGATGGATCACTCTTCATTGAATGGAGGGCTGGTGTCGAGAAATGTGGGCGTGGGCACTTTGGGTTGTCCCAGTGACTAGGAGGTATGCTGGGCATGAGCAGGGGGAGGGGCAGGGATGCCAACATCCTCCAAAGAGCGATTGTTTGACCCGAGAAAAACAATCCCGTCACGATGCTGGTAGCATCCTGCTGAGATCACAGCTTCTAAGCCCTGCAGCTAGGACATCCTACTTGCCTAGAGTAGCCGCTATGAGTGCTCTACCATGTGTCCCTGACCTTGACCATTTCACCCATTCCTGATTAACTCTCAGCTGGCATTTCCATGCCTGAGGATGTTCTCTGACTGGAGAGTTAACAGGCCCTGGGAGCTGCCCTCACCAATACCCGACTAACTCCTAGGGACTCTAGACTTAACTGAAGCCGCGGGATGGATGAGGGCTGGGTCTGGGTGTACAGACAGCAGGAACCCCATGCTGCCCAGTGTCCTGGTGTCCCGTGCAGACACACGGACAGCTATGGGAGACCCAGATTCCATTTCTCTCACTGGCACCCTTTTCGAGGCTCATCACTGGGTACAGTCACCCAGTGGCCAGAAAAGGAGGACAAATACATCAAGGTACACCCTTCTCATTAAGGCCAGTGCTCAGTTATTGATAAAACCAGATGATGCTCTCTTCATC